ATGGACCTCTTATGACTATTCTTCCTTATCTTCCTAAGTGATTTTAAACCCATTAAGGAATAATTCAACAGAATCCTCTTCGTGTAGTACAGCTGATAATAATTCTTTTATTACTGTGATCAGAAGAGAAGGGATTGGTTGTATCACCTAGTGCTTTTTTTTTGCTATAAAATTGCACATATACTGAAGACTGAGTGAAGCCCTGACTGACTTCACTTTTTACCAGAACAGCTGTACTACAGTAGCATTACAGTCCACAGTGTTCCGTGTTCTAGATCTTGCCTTTTATTTATTTATTTATTTATAGCTAGTTAGGTAATATCCTTGGAAACATGGGAAGAGGCAGTATTTTGTCAGATCTATCAAGAAGCTACTATTCATTTCTGGGCTTGGTTTAACATAACTAGACACAGCCTCTACTGATTTGAATGTTTTTAACATTTTTGCTGACCTGATAAAGTAAGCATTTACCTGTGTATTCAAAGACCTTCAGACCAGTCTGGTACAAGCAACTCCCTTTTATATTACTCCAGTGTACAGCAATAACTTGAATTGTGTGTACATTGCATGCCATCTTCATCAGAGCTTATAATAACCTAATGCATTTATGTAGTTCTTCTTGAAATAAATTTGGAAGTAATGTAAAACTTTCTGGATGTGTTGTCTCTTTGCAGTATTTTACTTTCCGTAAGTGATGAGTGAGCCTTCTCCTAGCTTAGTACTGGACTATTTGCCTGACTACCTAATAAGCACAGATTGCTAGATTAATCACTTGGGCAATATTTTTCATTCTAGTTTGCATAAAGCAATATTTTTTCTGTTTACATGAAGCAGAGCTAGGAAAAGAATGAGGCTGGAAAAATTGGACAGATGGTCGTATATTTTTCTATTTTGTAAATATTAAAGTACCATATGTAGAAAATATTATTTCCTTTTGGTTTAAGAGATGTAGCTAGCACATCTCCACAGAGTTTATAATTGCACTTATGCTAAGAATTTTAAATGGAGTTCGGCCCTTTGCTAAAACTGTGTTACAGTCTCAAATATCTATTTCATTGATGAAGGAAAAATATCCTCTAACTTTGCTTTTTACCTCTCATCATGCAGTTCCTTACATTCTACCTGACATTTATTACTTGATCTATTGCATTTACATAGGTCAACATCAGTTATTACAGTTATTGGAACTGAGCAATGAAATTGTCCTTGAAGCAATACTGCTGAAATGCTAACGTGTATATTTCTGAAGCAACTCTACAAGGCTACAAACTCTATAAAAAAATATAGTACCAGATAAGTGGTGGCATAGGACCTAAAAAGTGAGTCTGTGATTTGAAATAAATGTCGAGGCTCTAATCTCTTGAAATTCCCCAACCTCTGAATTTATTAGTACCTTGGTTTCCAACCAGCAGTTATATGTCCTGAGGTTAAAATGAAGCTTACCCTGACAGATAAATAAAGAAGTGAGGCTTTGAGTAGCCTCCTGGATGATTTCTTACTCCTTGATGCTTATTACAACAAAAATAGAACTTTGTCTGAAACTCATTTCCTTTCCTACACTTCAGCTAGTCCTTTGCATGTGGTACCATGGACATAAAGACCATAGATGAGTATGAGCACATTAGTCTCTTTCTCTGTCAGTGCTATGCGTGTGTCCTAAAGGAGCCTTCACTGTGTTCCTTGCTATTGCAGTGAGAATGGTACTAGTACCTGCTCTGGTACTAGATTCAACATTTTTACAACTTCAGTCCACTTCAGTTTCTTCCTGACCTCTAGGCATCACGCCTTCTTCCTGACGGTCTTTATAGACTGACAAGTTTCGATGTTAGCAAACAGAGTACACACAGATATTTACTTTTGCCTGAAGTAGGATGTGTTCTTGGTGGCTTTTTGTGGGTTTTCTTCTTAGCTATTTTCTTATGGGGGACAGGGTATAAAATATTATTAATAATTTTAAAAAAAAGTAAGTTCAATTGTGATGATCTCCTCAGGAAAAGTATCCACAATTCAGGACATCTCATGAAAAATGTTATTTACTGTATAGATGTTTGATTCCTTTTGATTCCCTCCCCCCTCCCCGCCCCCGAAAATACCCAATTCTGTTAAATTTAGTTTGGCAGACTGATACTGAAGTAATCTTCAGTTTTCTTTGCCTTTTTTTGGTTTGGCTTTTGATATGATTATTGAACAAAAAATTCAAATCTGGTCTAATTCTTGCTTATCCAGGCTGATTACATGAAAGTACATCAGTTAACAGCAAATCTGTTTCATGACACTTTTCTCTTAATTGTAATAATTGCCACATTAATATGTATGGAATACTACTTAGATAATGATTTTTTCTGTGCTCATCTTTAATTTTTACTATCAACAGAACTGAATAATTGTGGGTTTTAGCAGGTTCTAAAGTTCTAACATATTCATGGGTAAAATTTGTCACACCAAAAAGTTAGTTTGGAGTGTAATACTCCCCACCTCTAAAGATGTTTGTGCTGTTGGACTTTCATAGCAATTATACAAAAGGAATATAATGAGCTTGGGACATTCAGTATATACTGTAGTTTGTGTTGCTGTTTTCAAAAAGGTGAAATATTTCCACATACACAGAATAGACCATAATTATTATATTTCAAGACTGAAAATCCCAGATTCTTGAAACATTTTTTTAAACTTCAGATACACCCCAGTTCTCTACTATGTATCATACTGAATGAAAATTTAGATTATTTTCTTCTCTTAAAAATTAGTCTTTTTTTTGTCTGACTTTTTCTGTCTTGATTAGAGATTGAAATTAATGTGACTCTAGTCTTGTTATTGGTTCATGAACATTTATTGTCCAATTTTGTAAGATAATGGATGTTAAAGAGCTACAGCTACTTAGGGTGATGATAATGCTGGAATTGTGATTATTGAAGACTACATAGTTATTTTGCATAAATAAGCCCTTCACCAATAATACTGGCTGTGTTGGGTAGGTTATTCATAGGGTCATGGGACCATAAGATAGTTCAAGGTGGAAGGGACTCAAGAAGGTCTCTAGTCCAACTTCCTGTTCAAAGCAGGGTCAGTTACAAAAACAGACCAGATTGTTCAAGGCTTTATCCAGTGAGTTCCTGAAACCTGAAAGAACAGAGATTGCATAATCTTTCTGGGCAATCTGCTCCACTTTCTGACTGTCCACATCATGAAAAAGTTTTTCTTTATGCTTAGCCTGAACCTCTCATTTCAACTTGTCTTCTTGTCTTTTGTCTATCTGCCATACACCACTGTGAAGAGCCTGGCTCCATCTTCTTGATGAATTCCCCATGGGGATGGGTGGGTGGCTGTTCGGCTCCCCTGCAGTGCTCTCTTCTGCAGATTGAAAAGCCTAGCTCCCCCCAGCCTTTCCTCACCAGTTGTATGACTCCCAACAGGTTATTCCCTCCCAGGGAACTTAGCATTTATCCTTATTGAATGTTATGATACATTCTTCCCGTCTCTCTAGGTCAATGACCTTCACATCAAGTGAAGGTGTTAAATAGGACAGATCCCAGGACAGAACCCTACAGTACCCCACTTGTTACTGGTCTCCAGGTAGAGAATGACCCATTAGCCACTGTCTTCTAAGACTAACCATCCAACCAGATTGTCCTAGTTGGACAGCCTAGCTGTCCACTCATCCAAACTGTAACACCCTAACTTGATGTGGTGGGTTGGCTTCATCTGGCAGCCGAGCACCCACACAGCCACTTGCTCACAACCCCCACCCCCAGCAATACAGGGATGAAAATAGGAAGACTGGGAGTGAGAAGACTCATGGGTCAAGACTCAAGGTAAAGACAGGAAAATCACTGGCAAATTACTGTTGCGGGCAAAACAGACTCTAGTTGGGGAATTTAACTTTATTTATCAACCATTAACATAAACATTTAATTACTGATTTGAGTATTGGGAAACAGAGAAGACAAATACATAAGCACTTAGGGAAAACACCTTTATTCCCCTTTCCCAAGCTCCAGATACCTCTCCTTCCCCATTCCTAGCCTCCACTCCCCTTGTTATCACCATCAATGCAGGTTACACTCAGTCCCTTCAGTGAGGTGATGGGTGATGCAGGAGGTTTGCTGATGACATAGTGGTTTCTTTCTACCATTCCTTCTTTCTCACTCTTTTCTTCCACTGCTCCTTCTGCCTAACTCATTTTCTCTGTTCTGTTGGTTATCCACAGGCCACAGTCCTTTTGGGGGTGTACTTGCTCTGGCATGGGCTTTTGCATGGGCCACAGTCCCTTCAGGGGTGTTACCAACTGTGCCATGGAGCACCTGCTATTGCTCTGGCCTTCTTGTTACTCTGTCTTGGTGTTCTAAGAGGTGCCACAAACTCCTCCAACCGGCTCAGCTATGTCCTGCAGTGGGTCCTTTGTGGAGCCAGCTAGAACTGGCTGTGTCTGTCACAGCACAACCTCTGACCTCCCTCCAAAAGAAGTCACGCTTACAACTGTCCCCAGCTACCAAAACCTTGCTATTTAAACCCAATACACTTGAATACAAGAATATTGTGGGAGGCAGCATCAAAAGCCTTGGCAAAGTCAAGGTAATTGCCACCTACTGTTCTTCCCTCATCCACAAAACTAATCATTTTATCCTAGAAGGCAGTGGGGTTGGTCAGGCATTATTTACCCTTGGTCAGTCTATGCTGAGTGTTCCCAGTCACTTTATTCTCACTCAGTTTTTGGGTTTATGTTCTTGTGTATTTCTATTCCTTTTTCTTTGTTTCTTTAATTTTGTCCTCAGTTTTAGGATCTGAGGCTGTTACCCTTCATGTAACATCTTTTCTTTATTTTGATTGTTTTTTCCACGTCTATATATGCTCCAGTTCAAAACATACAATTCTTAGCTGAAACTTCTCAGATTTGTTGAACAGGTTCTATAGTATAGAATGAGAAAATACAAAACCTGAAGATATAAAATTTAAACTGATAAATGCCAAAACATATTCACAACCTACTTTATATTTTTCAGCTCTACTTCAAGTTACAATTTCACTTAGCAAAGTTGAGCTCAGTGTGGGGGAATCCAAATTCTTCACATGCACAGGTATGTATTCATTTTACTTGTAGGTACGTATTTTTTTGTTAGATTTTCAACCTTCTACATAATTTGAACTGAATTAATTGGTTCACAATATTAACTTAAATTAGCATATTTTTGTGTATTCACATTGACTTGTGAGAATTGTGATAAATAGATCTTCACTGGCTTCACATTTCCAGTCTAGAAACTATTCATTTCAGACTTTGAATCACTCAGTTTGAATTGTCTATATCAGTACAGGTAATTTATATCTGTTAGGATGCTTCTTTAGTTAAAATATTTTCACTTATCTAAACTAAGGAGTTAAATAAGCTACTAGGCTAAGCTTTAGTATCCTCTCCAACCTAATGAGACACCCAAAGAGTGTCTTCTGCTGAGGCAAATATCAGTCAAGAGCAGAAGGGTTTACATTTGCAGCTGCCTGACGTGGATCCTTGATGTTGCCGAGTTGCCATCTTCCATTGACAATGACACATCATGGCCTGACTACACTGACAACCCAACTGACAGATGACTTGACCTGTTGATCCAGTGACTGCTGAACAGCCTGTTTCTTTCCTTTAAGACTTTATACCTTTCTGTGTTTGTTTTTTTCCCTCTTGAATCCTTGAGCTACTAGTTATCCTGTCTCAACGATCATACATCTGCCTGCAGTTTTGCCTTGCTTGTCTTTCTACAGACTGTCTCACAACTCTCATAATTCAGCAATTCTCTGACATTGCATAGACATTGTGCATTAGGTAGACATATGTGTTGCATAATGTCTACCTGAACTTCTAATGTTGGATTGTTTTTTGGTTTTGTTTGTAGCCATTGGTGAGCCTGACAACATAGACTGGTACAATCCACAAGGAGAGAAGATTGTTTCTAGTCAAAGAGTGGTTGTTCAGAAAGAAGGTGTTCGATCACGTCTAACCATTTATAATGCAGATATAGAAGATGCTGGTATATATCGGTGTCAAGCAACAGATGCTAAAGGACAAACTCAAGAAGCTACTGTTGTTTTGGAAATTTATCGTAAGTAAAATATTATCAATTAACAAATGAAAGACTATGTTTTAAAAGCCACTGCTATTGAGAAAGTAAAGCCTATCAAAATATCTTCCCAGGCTCTTAACCTTATCTTCCAAATAATTGCATCTCCTGCAGTTTAGTTAATAGATATTATGACTAAGACTTAAGTGAAATGGATGGCCACTTTGTAATATTGTAGATCACTTTTCCTCTGTATCTTAGAATGCTGTCTTATGAGGGTGCACTGTATGCCCCTCATGGAAAAAAGGAAATATGAGAAAAACGTTATGTCAACCTAATACAAATACATCTACAACCTATTACAAATACGTGCATAAATAAAAGGACAGGAAGTGCAATATATGTCATTAAAAAAGTGGAATTTAGACTGAATTAGTTACTTTTATGTCAGTCTTTTCCTATTTTTGGCCTTATAATGGAATTTTGCCATAAAGCATTGAAGCTTAATGTGATAAGCAACCAAAATGCATTTCAATTACAGACAACTAATTGAGAAGTATATTGGAGAAGTAAATACATTCTATTGTGGTAAGAGATTCTCTGAGAGGTTGTGGTATTTTTTTTTTCAGTTTAGTTAAATAACTTTACATTGTACTATATTCTTTAGATCAATCAAAAATGCCTAAAAGCAATACAATAAACAAGTACACTGTGAAGATATAAGGTAAAGTCTTTGCTGGTGAACGGGTGAGACAGCAGCCTTTCAGCTGAGTTATTCTCTAATTTCATTGGAGAATAGTTTTTTAATATTCATAAAAAATTGTTTGTGGATGGACTGAGCACTAAGGAATTGCAATGAGACAGAAAATACAGAGTAGAATTATAAAGCACTACTTCTGAAAGGTACAGATAACTCAGATAACAAAAGATATACAATTTTAAAAAAAATCTATTGATAAAACAACCATTAAAATGGTGATAGCAGTTGCAAGAGATTACATGATGTCTTGAAAGCTGGCAGTTCAAAGGATTTCAAGTTTTGTGGAATTAATTTGTGTGCTTAAAACTGCCAGTCACTCCATTAGCAGACTGCTGAGCAAGGTTGAAATCTTTTGAAGTGTTTGCATCTGGTAATTTTAATAATTCTAAGGCTAGATAAACCCAAAGACCTACACAAGAAATGTGAAGATTTGTGGGAACTGACATTTCATTATTCATATTTGTGGTGTATTGTAAGGAAAAAGCAGGATACACTGTACTCCTAGGGTCTGGTTCAGTACTCACTGGTGTCTGTGAGAGTTTTTCTTTTGACTTACATATGGTCAAATACTTCAAACATTTCATACAAATACTTTGTAAAAGTATACAAGAGATGTTTATAACAGAAGTGTGCTCCCTCTGTTGTGGGAACTGTGTGGATTATTTGAGCCTGCACTCATATCAATGCAAAAAGGTGGAGGTGGAGTTGCATCTCAGGCTTATGTTCTCCAAAGTGTCCTCTGAAATGTAATTGACAGTCTTTGATCCTAGAGATGATAGGTCAGTTTGTTTCTTCTGTGTGCAAGAAAATCTTCCAGAATTTTTTGTCAGGCAATTGGTTTTGGCATTAGATCTTGTATGAGATCATGAATTAATGCCATCTTGGACTTCTAACAGTAAATTCTAATAATACTAAACTTATTCAACCCACTAATAAAATTACATGTCAAGTTTGGTTGTTTGGGGGTTGGAATAATTAAAAGCCTCATCAGGCCTAAAAAAATCTTATTATTTCCTAAAAAAAGGCTACAAATTCTTATGACTTAATAATATTAAGTTTTCCATATGGTTTCCCACTGGCTTTTAAGATTTTATATTTTACTCAGCTGATGGTTTTCACAGTCAGTGAGGCTAAAGTTCCATCTTTTTAATAAGACTTTTCCAAATTATTTTGGTGACTTTGATGGAAGTTTTGATGGAATAAAACCATGAGGTTTTAATTCAATAATAAGTTAATGAGGAATAAAACACACAAGAGAGTTAATAGACTATTAACCTGAATATATAGACCTCTAAAAAACTAGTTTCAAAACTGGGCTCTGGAACATTGGAAACAATGGAAAATATATTTATAAAACATGCTTAGTTTATATAAATAAAACAAAGATTTTCATAATGCAAAATGATTGTAAAATCATTTCTACAGACAGAGTGGAAGTCATGTGTCCGAGACCATTTGAGTCTTATCTGGGAAGATTATATTATGGAAATAATTCTGTATTATCACAATGAGGAGTCTTAATAGTCATCTTTATCTGATTTGGTGTTACATATAATTCTGATGCTAAGTGAACTGGAAGATGCTTACTATATTCTGTTTTCTTCCTTTTCAGAAAAGCTCATTTTCCGAGACATAATATCTCCACAAGAGTTCAGGCAGGGAGAAGATGCAGAAGTTGTTTGCCGTGTAACTAGTTCACCTGCTCCCATTGTCAGCTGGTTGTATCGGAATGAGGAAGTCACAACTATTGCTGACAGTTAGTATTTTGGTAACTCTTTAAGTTATATACATTCTAATTAATATGAAAATATTATTGTAAAAGAAGACTAATCACATTATAGTGGAGGATGGATTTTGATTAGCCCATCAGCTTAAGTAGAATTTAACCAGGTTCTGTGGTCTATAGGGAATCCATATGCAATGATTTCCTTCATGTATCTTTTTTTTCCAATTGGAAATTTTTTTCTAGATGTAACATGAGGGTCCAAATGCCCAAAAGATTGCTGGGAGCTCCTTCGCAGGAACTCTTCCTGGGTTGCCATGTATGTAGGAACACATTTTTTAAACACACACAGATAAACTTCACTGTGAACACAAAGCCATGACACTGAGCAAACACTGCACTGACTTTGGTATACTTGTACATTAGCTCAGAGACTTTCAGGTGGATAGGCTTTTTGCACTATTGTGAGAATTTACTTGTATGACTGTAAGCTACTCTTTGAGTTACAAACAACTGGGGGTATAGGTGATCTGTTTAGGCTAGATTCCCTAACAGCTAGACTGATAAAGTTAGGTGAAGATGAATCTCACCTTCCCCACATGCAAGTTCTAAGCCTGTGGAGAGACAATTAGGCATATAGAATCTGTGTGATTTACCCCCTCAAAATCTGTGAACCATTTTTTCAGTGCTGTCTCAATAGTCGTCTTTGCCTTTATGGAAAACAAGACTTTCCACGTTTTCTGGAAATGGAAATAAAGTTGTTGATGAACCAGCTTATCCATCTTCGTATCAGTCTTTATCTCTGCATGTACTAAAACTCAAGGTTGTAGTCTATGCACTTAAACTTCTTGTTCTTCAGAAATTTTTTTTTTTTTTTTTCAAAATGAAAATGAAAAATTATATTTGGTCTCTTATGAAATCACATAAACAAATGTGGAGCAGTTGCTGGGGAGAAAAAAAAAGCTTGTTTGATGTTTCTGGACTCAGTCTTAGACTCCTCTCCATTACGAAAGAAAGTTTTGATCAAACTTCTTTCTTATTTAGTATATCCTATCCCTTCTGTCATCTAGACACAGGCACTAAGAAGAAATAGCAAACTTCTACCTTAGAAAAAAGAGTTGAAATTTTTATATATATAGTTAAACAGTGAATGTAGGTGAGACGTAGAAGATTTTGAAAAATAAGAACTCTGAAAACCAAACAAAGTTTGGTAATTTAGCAAAAAGTCTTTTTCAAGGATGCAGGATCTCAGAGCTTGAAAAAATAAAAGTGCCTTTAAAGATCTCTCTCAAAAAAATTTTTTATTGCCAGTTTATTTGTTTTTTCCAATCAATTTGGCTGCTGTAGGATTAGCAATGAAAATAAAGCAACATTTCCTTTCTTTTTCAAAATCACACATTCTGAAGATTCCAAGGTTTTAAATTTGAATTCGTAAATTTGTCTCTTTAACCATTTTCTTTCACAATGCTTACAATGTGAAAAGGTAGAACGATAGAAACCAGTTTTAATTTAAATTGCAGAATACCTTCCTTATGTTCTGATCTGGAGTAGTACCCAAATAAAATCCCATCGTGCTTGGGATCGCTGTTAAATACACTTGTGTAAACTGATGTGCAAAGGTGAGTGTCAGCTTTAGATGGTTAACATGCTGTGTTTACATTTGGTCTAGAAGAAGAAATTACTGGGTTGAAAAACAGTCCCTCCTGGAGAGAATGACTGGTTTGGTTGTATGAGGGACGTATTTAATAGGAGTCTTGGTCTTCAACTTTTGCCAAAAGTTTTGATTTTTTCTTCAACAGGTCTTTAGTCATGTCCCTGTCTTAGAATGAATAGCTGTGCCTAACCTTTTTGTTAGACATTGTGGGTCATAGCCTGGTACATACCCTAGAATGCAGTAAAATTGGCAAACCATGAGCCAAAAATTCCTCAAGCTCTTATTATGAGGCACTGAAAAGACATAGGCAATCTCACTTGTCATCTATACCACTTAACATCTGATTTGATTGAAGGGGGAGGTAGTGTGACTGTTCTTTTAAATTGGGCATTTGAAGTTGAGTGAGTTGAGTCCAGAAAATAAAGTGATGAGCTGGAGGAGTGTAATGCCCAGTCAATGTCCACATCCACCAACTGTCATCTGTTTACACAATTTTTATTATGATATCCATGGGACAGTGAATTTTATCTGTGTGCAGACCATCTCTATGTATCATGTTGTATTACTAGGTTATGCTCTGAACCTCCTGAATGTTCCATAGTACATGTGAGTCCATCAAGATCTAACCTCTGCCTGTCAAGATTTCAGTGCATTTGTTGACCTAGCTGGTCTCTGCTGAATGAGGATAGTATCATTGTATACTTAGTGGCATTTTTACAGCGACATGAACTATTCTTTCAGAAGCCTACCAAAGGATAAGACATGGAGAGCAACAATTTCTGAAGAAAGTCACACATTCAATTCACATTCCATTGTTTAAGTTTCCTTGTAATATGATGTGTATTAATTTTGTCTGTATGTAGACAGTATTAGTGGCGGAAAAAGACATAAAATGTTTTTCTTCTGTTATACCTTGTTTACTCATGAGAATATCTCCTGCTGTATCCATTATATTATTCTTGAAATAGGTTTTGTTTACTGTTACTAAATGAACCCTCATTTTTTCAGCATTTTAAAGAAATAAATGTGATCTCCAGTCCTTTCGTTCACCTCACACATTAAATATTTACGTTAACAGAAAAAAAATGTTACCAATGCTTAAAGAGGGTTTCAAATGTTTTCAAAACATTTGAAGCACAGCTCTCTGGGAATTGTGTAGGGACAGGAAAGAAAAAGATGATATAATTTGTATGTGGTAGTGTGTGAAATGGCATTAATGTTCAAGCATGACTTTAATAAACTAGACATAATTAGCGTAAATGTGTTGAGGCCATTGATGTCCTGTAAACCTCTATCAGGTGAAGCATGATTAAATTTTATTTTTTAATTTTTCTGATAGAGTTCTTGGTGATGAAACAGAACCCACATGGCATAAAAAGCTGTTTTATTTGTAAATATGTATGCACATATGTTCTGTAAATAGACTGTTAGCTGTATAATACATAAAAGCTTTTCTACCAAGTGTTGTTTATCACCGTTTTGGAATATCAGTGTTGTGTTGTGGGAAATCTAGCATGCTTTAAAAACCTAGCAAAATCAAAAAGGAAAGCAAAGTGAAAAATTACACTTGGTTGCTAGTTAAAACTGAAAGCTAGTAAATCTCATCATCCTCCAATACTGAAAGGATGGAGCTGGTTCAAATAGAACAAGAAAGACAGATGAATAACAAGTACGCAGGTTCTTCAAAATCCACATACAGTGAACTGCAGGAAATAATTCTCCTCAAAAGAGTCCATTAATATTGACTAGTTATGGTGGGTTGACCTGGCTAGCTTCAAGGCACCCACCAGCCACTCTCTCCCTTACCCTCCTCAACAGGACAGGGGGAGAAAATGAGATGAAAGAGCTCGTGGGTGGAGATAAAGGCAGGGAGATCACTCACCAATCACCAGCACAGGCAAAACGGATTTAAATTGGGGAAAATTAATTTAATTTATTGCCAGTTGAGTTGGATGGTGAAACACAAAGGCAAAACTAAAGAAACACCTCCCCCCTCCTTTTTCCCAGGCTCAACTTCACTCTTTCATTGCCAACTCCTCTACCTCCTCCACGCCAGGCAGTGCAGGGGGATGGGGAATGGCGATAATGGTCAGTCCATAACAGTTCCAGTGTGGGTCCTTCCCGCGGGCTGCAGTTGTTCAGGATAAACTTGCTTCAGCATGGGGTCTTCCACGGTCTGCAATGTGTGTATCTGCTCCACCATGCTCTCTCCTGGGGCTGCAGGGGGATCTCCGCTCCAGTGCCTGGAGCACCTCCTCCCCTTCCACCTTCTCTCATCTTGGTGCTTGCAGGGTTGTTTCTCTCATATTTTTTTCATTCCTCTCTCTCACAGTTGCTGCGCAGCGTTTTTTGCCCTTTCTTTTACATACCTTCCCAGAGATGCCACTGGGAGGGCATCTGAGGGGCTCAGCTGTGCCCTGTGGTGGGTCCGCTGGAACACGCTGCAAGTAGCTGTATCTGGCACAGGGCAGCCCTGGTCTCTCCTCACAGAGGCTGCTCCTGCAGCCCTTCTGCTATCAACATCTTGCCATGTAAACCCAATACACTCATTCAGGCAGAAAGGAGAGAAAATCTAAATTCAGATTCAGTTTACTTTTGCAGATTATTCAGCTGTGCCCTGTGGTGGGTCCGCTGGAACACGCTGCAAGTAGCTGTATCTGGCACAGGGCAGCCCTGGTCTCTCCTCACAGAGGCTGCTCCTGCAGCCCTTCTGCTATCAACATCTTGCCATGTAAACCCAATACACTCATTCAGGCAGAAAGGAGAGAAAATCTAAATTCAGATTCAGTTTACTTTTGCAGATTATAATTTTTGCATGTGCAGTTTTAAGAGTGCTCACTACTTGTTCAGAGTCTGATTTTTTCAATGAACTTGAGCTACTCAAAAGGTCTATTGAACTTCAGTTTATGCTGGACTATGCAGAAGAAGGAGTGGTTTGTTGGATTATGTTTTCGTACCCATTTCTATGAAGTGTTACCCTATGGTGAGATGCATTGACTAAGTAATAGTGAATGAGCAAAGGAACAGGAGGAGGAAAAGAGAGCAAGCAAGCTGAGAAATGATTAAGCATAGTGCCTGTAAAACGGGCACAAAGACAGTTGATTAATCTAGATAGAGAGGGAAGAAGCATTTTCTTACTTATTATAAATTGCTCGATTTATCTTTTTTCCATCTCTTTAATGTTTTTGATATTCTGTGTAGGTGTTCATGAATATACCACTCATTTTGCAATAATTTATAAATTTAACTTACATTTGATGACTCCTCAGAGTAAGTAGGAAGTTATGGATGGAAAATCCAGATTGAGTTTTAGGAAATGGCAATGTATTTTGGAGTAGGAAAAAAACAAATTTCTCAGCTGACATTTTACTTTTAAATTGACAAATATTTTTTCAATGAGCATTCTGATTGTACAGAGAAAGTACATAAATATTACTCATTTAATTTAGCATTCCTCATGTTGTCTTGATTTACTAACACCACTTAATCTCTTATTTGCCTTTCTAGATCGATTTGCAATATTAGCAAACAATAATCTCCAAATTCTTAACATCAATAAAAGTGATGAAGGAGTATACAGATGTGAAGGAAGAGTGGAAGCCAGAGGAGAAATTGACTTCCGGGACATAATTGTTATTGTGAATGGTAAGGAGAAAAAGTTTTTGAATTTACTTATGGCTTTAATTGATTATCATAGCCTATTTTAAAATATATAAGCCTCTAAAAAATCCTAATTAAACTGGTTAATATAGTTGTCATGTCTGTTTAGTATTGTTTTTCTATAAATGTAATCGCTTAATATTTAAAAAAAATCTATTGTACTGTGTAAATAGAATTCAGTGCAGTTCATAATATCAGTGTATATAAATATGTAAAAGCTGGATTTTTTTTTTTAGTCATTCATGGAACATTGACAATCACTGCAAGACTTGAGATTCAGATTATAATATATAGTAGTTCAGTTCACCCTGTATTTTTCAATGTTTTGTCATTTACTGTTAAAAAACCACACTTGATTTTTCATAGTTATTCACCTTCATTCATTCAACATATTTTATGAACTGTCCCAAAAGTCACAGATACATTCTATTAAGGTTAACAGTATTACTTATAGATTTTTAACATTTTATTTTTATGAGGAGTAAAATATGTAAAGTGGCATTATACATTTTATCAGTTTGTAATAAACCTCTGAGAAGGAATATGAAAGAATTAAGACAAGATGGATAATTTAGCTCAACCTGTCTCTTAAATTCAGGGTTGACCTGTTGAAAAATAAATATCTCTTCATATATTGTCTGGAAAGGGCACAGTTCCTAAAGAGCATTTTTTATCTATACATTCTGTTTAATGTCAGTTTTTCAATGAAACTACTTCCATCATGCCTATTAGGTTCTGAGTGCTAAATGCTTTGTCCTTGACTGGTCCTTTTGGGCAAACCCCAGTTTACAGAAGTCATTATGTAAGTTGAATTCTCAGTTAATTTCAGGAGAAAGAGCAGCTTCTGGCACAGGTATTATTTAATCATCCATATAGTCAAGCAGCAATCTTTGAAGCAGAATTCTTTAGATTGTTGTAGATAGTATATAGACAGTGGCAAGCAAATGGGTGATTATCCTATATATTGTGATAGAATATAACAGTACATGCCCTACGCACTCTGAAGACCCCCAACAAATTGCTTTCCTCTCTGCATTGTGGTGCTGTATTACCTTGACTCCTGGTTATGTACACTTCCAACAGTGCATCTGGTAGCGTTTAAAATGCTGAATGAGGTTTTCTGGGGGTGCTGGTTGACAGCCGGCTGAACATGAGCTGGCAGTGTGCCCAGGTGGCCAAGAAGGCCAACGGCATCCTGGCCTATATCAGAAATAGTGTGGCCAGCAGGAGTAGGGAGGTGATCGTGCCCCTGTACTCGGCCCTGGTGAGGCCGCACCTTGAATCCTGTGTTCAGTTTTGGGCCCCTCACTACAAGAAGGACATTGAGGTGCCGGAGCGTGTCCAGAGAAGGGCAACGAAGCTGGTGAAGGGTCTGGAGAACAAGTCTTATGAGGAGAGGCTGAGGGAACTGGGACTGTTTAGCCTGGAGAAGAGGAGGCTGAGGGGAGACCTCATCGCGCTCTACAACTACCTGAAAGGAGGTTGTAGCGAGGTGGGGTTTGGTCTCTTCTCCCGAGTAACTAGCGATAGGACGAGAGGAAATGGCCTCAAGTTGCGCCAAGGGAGGTTTAGATTGGACATTAGGAAAAACTTCTTTACTGAAAGAGTGGTCAAGCGTTGGAACAGGCTGCCTGGGGAAGTGGTGGAGTCACCATCCCTAGAAGTATTTAAAAGATGTGTCGATGTGGTGCTTAGGGACATGGTTTAGTGGGCATGGTGGTGTTGAGTTGATGGTTGGACTCGATAATCTTAGAGGTCTTTTCCAACCTTAATGATCCTATGATTCTATGATTCTTCTGCTGCTGTTTATGTACATGGATATGAACCTACATTCTGAATACCTTTCACCTCTATCTGATATTTATATACAGTTGAGCTAAGAGAGAGCCTGTATTTAACCTAAAATGTCAGATTGCAAACTATGGTCTGACTTCATATCTTTTATTGGTGGGTTATATCCACAAATTTGGTTCTTCCTATATTTATTATGACTCTAGACAAGAGACACTCACTTACCTCTAGATTTCAGTTCATAGTGTTGGGAGCAGAAGGGGTTGCCAATTGAGTGATTCTGACATGGTTGCTCATGTAGAGTGGTATCAATTAAGAACTATTTTCTGCTTCATTTATAGGAATAAATAGTTTTCCTACATAAAGCTGAATGTATTAAATTTGGCCCAAAATTACTTTTACAGTAATATTAAAAATCAGAAAGAAAGAAAAATTGTAGTGTTCTTTGGTGAAAAGGAAAACCTATGAATGAATCGGATTCAGAAAAGAAAAGAAAAAAAAAGAAAAAAAAGGAGCAGTCTGTAGGCCAGTAAAAGCTACATGGCTGTATTTCCACCATGTCTCCTTTTCCAAAAAAAAAGCAATAATGCTTACCTGGATGATAATCAAAGCTTGGTATGAAAAGAAAAAGTTATCATGACAGTATTTGTATGTAGAAACTCTTCAAATTTAGAACTTTACGGTTTATTTACTTATATTGCAATAGTACCTACAGGATCTATAGAAAGATCTGAGATATATACAAACACATAGTAAGAACTATACAAGGTCTCTAAATGGATAAAGTGCAGTTAAACAACAAAGAAATAGGAATACTTCAGGAGAGCTGGCACTCCACTTAACCCATAAGTTTACATTTTAAAAAAATTAATTTTTCGTGAGAGTCTGTAAGGAGAAGTGAATGTAGAGAATGATGAGATTAATAATTAAGTCAATAATATTAGTCCTTGCTCTCACATATGTATTTAGGGTTTACAGTGGAAATACATTTTTAGGAGGAACATAGGGGCTGATATTGTAGCTTTGCTAATTTATTTGGAGAGTAGCAGAATTCTTCCTATATGATGTTTCTCTACTGCAAACAGTATATGAGTATGTTGCTTTCCAAATGTCTTCTTTATTATATAGCAGGAGTTGATATTGTTTCTATTTCTGCAAATATGATTTGTTCCGATGCTTATACATACTTCACTCAGAAATGTAAGCTATGGTAGAAGTGTGTGAAATCTCAGATTCCCTTTTGCAAGAATAGTGACGAAGATTTAATTAAAAAAGAAACTATTAGCTATCCCTTTACTCATTGCCTTCTAGTTAGAGTATTATCCATGGTGCAGGTGACCCATACATCCTCTGATTCAGGGCAAAGATTTGAACTAAGACTACCTCTTCTGTGAACAAGTACTTTATTTGGTACTGTTTCTCTGCCTCTGTCCAACTAAAACGGGAGGACAGAGAGAGTGGAAAAACATGTGAGAGGCTGAAAGCACCCGAGCCTTACAGCAAGCTGATGAAGACCAGTCTCTCAGAGGTAGATGGTATGGGATCAAATCCTCTCAAGAAGAGGAGAAGATTAAACCTATGATTCTCATATTTAAGAACAAGAGGTAAGTTCCCTCTTGGGCCATTTTGGTCATAACAGAGTTATCTCTGCCCATGTGGATGATACTTTCCTGTAGAATGGTTTCTTGTGCTATGTGGAAGCAAGAAAAATTAATGACCACTACAACTATAGCTATGAAATGAAGGATTAGACCTTGCAACCACCAGAAAAAAAATGGTAAAAAGCCACTCCCCGAATGATTTAAGAACACGTTGCAAAAATTCATTCTTTCTTTGCCTGGAGTTAGGTGGCTGTACCCATATTTAGGAACCTAAGTAGCAGAAATTTTCACAGTTAATGAAGCAGCATGTGCAGGTGATGTTGACTAAGTGGAAATTAATTGAACTTTTTAACTTAAATACCTGGATGGAACGTTATTATTTTCCTTATTAACAATGACTTCCTAAGAAACTAAAATTAGATGACTGTAAGCATTTTTAATTTTATTTTTATTTTTTATTTTTAGTGGAGTACTAAGTAAAATTAATTTCTTATAGATTTCTTACATTAAAAAGGAAATTTCTTGTTTTATAATCATTATATAAATTTAAAATAGTCTAGTCTTGGGATTAAATAGTGGGCACTTGTAACTACACATAAAAATTGTGTTGTAGAGATGTATCTCATCTTGAAGAGAAGGAATTAACAAAGACAGTGGTGTGTATCTTGAAAATATTTCTTCCATTCTCCACTCAACCTGGATGCTAAGCTGGTTGACATAACATTGGCTAATTCACATCTGGGTGAGATGTAAATAACAGGAAGAAGAGATGAAATGGATAGCGTTTCCATCAGACCGTAGTAGAGTATGTTCTCTTCTGTACCAGTGTCCAAACTAGCTGATCATAGCAGCAGTTATGACTCAGGTCACATGCACATAGTTTTAAAAACTAAAAGCTGTAACAGAAATTATTTTGAACATGATATTCAATGTTCTGGTTAGTGTTGCAAGACTGTGCTGAATAATTTGATGGTGAGGGCCCTGAAATGCAATACAAATCCTCTCTTTACTAACTTATGGAAAAGAAGAAAATTGAGTAAATTTGCAGAGGAAATTTTAAAGTCTGTTTGCCTAGATTATTGGCCCACAAATTTAGAGGTTCATTGCCCTGGGGTCATGGTATTTTCATATCCAATATGTAGCCCAGGCAATTTCAGATAGCAAAGAAGTAATCTGTGAAACAGACTTAACATAAAAAAGTGTGAAAGCAACTTACTGTAAGTAAATATATGTTAGAAAACCTTTTCAGTTTTAGCTGGCTGTTCATTATATTGGTTATTTTTTTGTATCATGCTTTAAAGATTACATATGAACAGAATGAAACTTTGCTCAAAAATATTTAAAAGTAAATACTGGAACAAAGTTTGATATATAAAATGTAGTTTCTAGTGTATGGAAATCTTTGGGGGGTTATAATGGATAATAAATTGAAATACATTTGAGCTAGATTCTCTCTTTAAAATCTAATGTTTAGGTATCTTTTCTACTTTCAATACTGAACTTATAGGATTTCTTCTCTACCCATATTTACAGTGAGATCTGAATGGCAAGTTTTTATTTAAAAAAAAAAAAAAAGGTTAGTATAAAGTAGAACAAAAGAATTCAAGTCCTCCTGAAAACAAAAACTTTTTTTTTGTTCTTTTTTTTTTTTTTCTCTCTCTCTCTCTTTTGGTAAATGGGTTTATTAGATGTATGTCTTTAAGTTTTCTTTGCTGTCTGGGAAGTTCCCTAAATTGGATAGACTTCCTGACCTCACTGACATAAATGAAAAAGAATTGTTTTCACTTAAATGTGGCTGGATTTTACCATTTTGCTTTAAGTTTGAAATGTGAGAGACTTGCCAGTATAGCTTCATTTGGCTTTTCCTCTTTTAGGTTCACACTTTATTTCCATCCTACACACATACAAGACCAGAACCAAAGATAAACAGACCTCTTCCCAGAAGGAATGATGAGAAAAATAAAATTTGACTTTTGAAAAGAAAAATAATATTTCATTTCATTGTCATTGCAGTATCTCTTGGAAGATTGAAGTGCTTAAGTAATGTGCTGAACTGAGTCATAGACCTGTAATTCTTAGTTGTGAGCAGTGAAGAACCTGCTACTGCTGGCAAAGAATTATTTTATCCCCTCATGTTACTGAGTATTTTCAGGTCTAGACATTAGAATGCACTGCAAAATGACTAAAATGTATATAACGTTTTCTAAGTGACATTTTTTCATGGAAGATGTTGCACAACAGAAGGGTTTTGTATGCTGAGTAATGGCCCATGCAATTTCAGATAGGAAAGAAGTGATCTGTGAAACACTTAAATTTCAGCACACCATTAAAAAGTGTGAAAAGTACATAACAACATCTACTTACCGATCATTGATAATTCTTATACATTATTTTTAATAATTTGATATATTTAAGGTTCAGAAGCTGGAAAGGCTTCTGAAATAGAATACTAAAGCTAAAATATTTGGTGCAAAGCAACAGAAGTTGATTCTCAACTGTTTGTGAGAAAAATCTGTGGAAGTGCAATGGGAAGCTAAAAGCAAATTCATTGGAGATGCCTGTTTCTCCTTCTTTTCTCTAGTGAAAGTTAAAGCTAAAAAAGTTAATTCTGAGTCACTCTGACGACAGGATGTTCTTGCTAGCAGGGGCCTATATTTTGTGAAGCTCTAATCTTCTTTTCCCTTTCCTCTCGCTTTCCCTGACATTCCTTCTTTTCCACATATCCTCTTCTTTCCAATCTGCTGGGATTACTTTTTTTTTGTTTGTTTCTTTGCTTGACAGTTAATGGAAACATTTAGGGCAGCTGTCTTAAAATTACCATATGAACAGAGATATTAAATATCAGCCTGTAAGTTGTTCTGCCTTAAATAATATTGCTATTTTTTTCTGTTGGGTAGAGGTTCTCTGCGAACTGTTACAATTTTAGTAATAACTTCATCCCATCAAGAACAGGCAAAATTCATCACTCTTAGAACATAATTACAATTTTTCGAAATACAGTTTCCAAAAATAGATTGTATCCATTGGGTTCTATCACGTTTCACCTTTTGAAGCTGGTGATACTCCTGCCCAGGAATTATGCAGTAAAAAGAATTAAATATAATCAAGACTACTGACACCTGTTTTAAAAGCACTGTCTGACATCAGTACATAGTTATATGTCAGCTTTATAATTGAGTGAAAGATAAAAAAGACTACAGATACATTTTCATTTGACATAGTTAAATTAGTGCCAATCATCACTGTATTGTGTCTTATATGTGTTAGGTATAACTTCAATCACTTTAAAATGTTCTGTAAGAAAACAGAAGAACTGCTGAATAAGACTTTTTAAAAAAGGTTATAAATGTCCTGAAAATATTAAAAATCTTGTGTTTAAGAAAAGTAAAGAAATGCTAATAACAGTGATTCATCTTGTAACTTGATCCCTACATGTAACCATAAATTCCAAAATTAGCAAAGGATCCTATCCTGTGCTTTAAATTTCTCTGGAAAAACACATAAAGTCATTTATTTTTCCATTAATAGGACATAATGTTTTATTTTTCAGTTCCCCCTGCAATTACTCTGCTACAGAAATCCTTCAATGCCACTGCAGATCGAGGAGAGGCAATAACTTTGTTCTGCAGAGCCACTGGATCACCTCCACCTGAAATCAGTTGGTATAGGTAAGTTCATTTAAGCACATCAGAGCACATGTTTTAATGTGTCACGATTTTCTATCACAGTCCATTAAGCTGTGCAACCTTAATTTCTTTACTGAATTTTAAGAGCATTTGCTGTCCATTTCTGTTCTAACTTCTAAAGCTAGATTCAGCATTAATAAGTGAATGAACTCACACAAATTCAATTGCAGTCAGGTTACCAGCAAGTGAGATAAATGTAAAAAGTAACTAAAATGCCATATTGACATGATTTCTTCATATTTGAGGGGAAACAAATAAAGCTGAAGCAATGAGTCCATATCTCAAAAACAATACAAGCAAAAATCTCACAACAACTTTTGCACATGAATGCATCAGGTAAAAACGTATACAGTTATGCAAGAAATAAATATCCCATATAGATATCAGCAATACTGATAACAAAGATAACATTTTCCCCATCTGTAAAAATAGATTCTAACCATAACTTTCCATTTCAGTGAGATTTAGAAGGAGGTATGGCTTTAGACATCCCCAGGATATGGGAATGTTTCATTGCATAAGTTTCAAGTGTATTTTATGTAATTTTTAAAATGTAATATGTTTTGAAAATGGAACTGCTTTTAAAGTTCGTATGTGGTTTTTGATGATATCAGTGACATGAACATAGTATAGCCGTGTCATTTGGGAACTCTTACCATATAACATTTGTAAAAATTTAAATATCCATACACTGTATATTTTTTCAATTTTAACGAAGATATGCATCAGTCCTGGGTTATAAAGTATCTCAGACTCCTCATACCAGTGTACATTTCTATTTTAGACCTGAATAATTTGCATCTACATATATTATTTCAGGTGAATTAAAAGGTCACTGCATTTTCAAAATGGACATAGAAGGGATTTCCATCAATTCTTAATCTCCTTTGCAATCTTTGAACAATGTTAGATTAATTTTAAATGTTAGCTTCCTTTGACTGACACCTTTATCTTAACATGCCATAAGTCAAATGCGGATTTAAATTTTTCTTTTGTGTAATTTAAATCTCAGGAGATATAAATAAATAGAATGCAAAGTTAATTCCTTAATGTGGCTTAGAATTCAAAATTTAGTGAAGAGGAGGAAAAAGAAAACAAAATATGCAGAGCCCAAATTAAATAACTGATACTGAATTCAAACTAAGGTTGAATATTCTGATTAAAGTCTGTGAAGTAATTTTTTACAATGTATGTCTTATTTGGCCAAAATTCTTAAGAGTTATCTGAAATCTGGTATTCTAAATGGCCTTGTTGTAAGATAACCAACATTAATGTTTTATATTGTTAAGAAAGAATGCATACATTTCCACAGTTTGTGGATATCTCTGTTTACAGTTGTGGGTTTTTTCAATATTTTATAAATATTATAGTATGTGCGCAGGCTAAGTGTCTTGAAGAGACACTTATCTCTGTCTACTGATCAGAGCCTACTGAAAGATTTTTTGGGGGGTTGCCAGCCCCTGAGGCAACTGACTTTTTTAAACCATTCATTAAATACCTTTTTAGAGATTTTACAAAAGCTTCACAGTCTTCTGTACTGGATACTGGATCTTAAGTGAGAAAACTTCTGTTCTGTTCCTATTTCAGGAACTATGTCATAGTGAGGAATATTGGCTTATGTTCCTCCCTTCCCTGTTGTGGTGGGGTTTTTTTGTTTTTTTTTTTTTCTTTCATTGTCTTTTTATTTTGTCTTATTAGGCTCTAAATTCTTGGCAGTAGAAAATATTCTTGCTTTTTTATTTGCTGACAGTGAGAGGTTGTAAAGTGGTAGGTGGAAAAGGCCCCTGGTCTCTGTGACAGAATATTATCATTGATATGCAAACAGGGAAAAAAAGATGGGAGGAGCTAAATATTTTTTTCTGGAGGAAGCAAATTGATTCTAAATTGTATTCCAGTACTAAATTTCTGCATCAAATTTCTGAAATCTCTGTCCTGAACTGTTCAGGTCCCTTTTCACTCACATAATGGTAGCCAATTAAAAGGATTCAGAATCTGCTGATATCTTCTCCTTGTCCTTGGACTTATCTCGCAGATATGTCCAGATAAAGACCTTAGTTTTCTAGAATATTTCGGATTATTTTTCTTTAGAAATTAGACTGAGCATAGGAAAACTAGATCAACATAATCCTTCTTGATTTTGAGAAAAATATAGAAAGCATTGTCAGTGATAGGAAAGTCTATCAAAACTGATTTATCTAATATTAATATGCATGTCATCCATTGAGAACCTGTTTATCAGAATTAATGGCCAAGGTATCATATTCCCAATTTCATCCTGTTTAGTGTACTTTTTGATGTTGTGTGTAAGTTAATATTAATGTCAGTTTTATGTAAGTGTTTCTTTTTTAATAAACAAGTGGAATTGCATCTTGAATTTGATTAAGTGTTAATGCTGATTTTGGAAGGATTATAACCTTTGTTTACAGCAAGTTATGGGAATCATGTGTTAAGTTTTATTCCCAACTGTACCATTTATCTATGTGAGTTCAGTCATTTTATTTAATTTGCCTCAGGTTAACCATTTGTAAAATGAGCATGAGTAATAAAGTGACTTAATGGAAGTCTGTTTTCTGAATGCATAACTATGCTAAGGAAAAAAGTCCAGAGAGATGCAAACTATTATAACAGAGAATAATGTTTCCTTGTAAAACATTCAAAAGTATACTAAGCATTCTGGAAAGCTGAGGAAAAGCTCTGATAAAAAGGGTGGGAATGATTTCTACTCCATTCTGCTGGAGGATTTTTGTTATATTGTATAGAAAGTACATCTGCACCTGTTGAGATGGTTCATCAAGATTAAGGACCTGTTTTATGAGTAGTTCAGTGTTCTTGTGTCTTTGTTGCCTTTTAAAATGTGCTCTGACACCAGTTACTCTCTCATTCGCTCTATTGAAGTTTCTTTAGCAAGGCCTGCATAATTTGGATCTATCGTTGTGTAGTCTTATCTTCCTTAAAATCCACTGATATTTCAGTCAATTAAAAAAGAAATTATCTTGATTCTCTTCTCTCTTGTTTCCTTTTTGGTTTCCAATGAACTGATTTAACAGGTCAACTTCAGGTAGGACATGAAAAATGGCTGTATTTTTAAAATCAAATGACAGTACTATTAAGGTGGCTTATATATCCCTCTGTGTTCACTGTAAGCAAGACGCTGGACGAGACTGTAGTTTCAAGCTTTAAACTCTTCAAGTCAGTATCTGATGTGGTAAAGCTTTATTTATGTCGACCCTTTTCATTTCCAGATGCTGACAATGTTTAAGATTTTGTCAATTTAAAATGTAGGCATCAGAACTAATGTGTCTTTTTCAGAAAAATACTTTTGTTCGCTTTCAAATTTGTCAGTTTGAAATACCTAGTCAAGAAGAAAGGTCAGCAAGGTTTAGATGCTGCTCTATTTAATATGCTTATGTACTTTGCTGATATTTCATGGACCGAGAGAATCTAATTCTTTCACCACTTAACTGATGTATCTATTGAAGCTGATATTACATTAGTGTAAAGTATAGCCTTCAGAGAAGCAGTACACTAATAGAATTAAATTAGCCAGGACTGAAAGATAAAGATCCAAATGTACAAGTCATGAACTGGAAATCTTTAATCATGTGAATAGTCCTACTGAAAACTTCATGATTGTTTACATCTGTGGAGATAATTTACACTAATGAAGTTTAGCTGGATTAATCCGTTTATCTTTACTGACAGGACTTAGAATTATCTGACAAAAGAAATAATCCGCTTTTAATGTGTTATTCATGTTTTCCTGTTCTCCAATATCAGCATCAATCTGAATCTCTCCTGATCACTAGAGGGTCCAAGGAAATGCTCATGATCTCATTTCTGCTTAGAAATTGTCAGAGATATAGGTGGTTGTCCTGGTTTTGGCTGGGATAGAGTTAAATTTCTTCCTAGTGCTGTGTTTTGAATTTAGTATGAGAAGAATGTTGATAACACACTGATGTTTTCAGTTGTTGCTAAGTTCCCTGCTAGTCAAGGACTTTTCAGCTTCCCATGCTCTGCCAGGTGCACAAGAAACTGGGAGGAAGCATAGCCAAGACAGCTAACCCAAAACAGCCAACAGGGTATTCCATACCATATGACGTCATGCTCAGTATATAAACTAGGAGGTGATCGCTGCTCGGGGATGGGCTGGGCATCGGTCGGAGAGTGGTGAGCAATTGCATTGTATATCACTCATTTTGTATATTCTACCATCGTCGTTATTATTATTATTATTATTATTTTCTCTTTCTTTCCTTTTCTATTAAACTGTTTTTATCTCAGTCCACAGATTTTACTTTTTTTTTCCCCCAATTCTCTCTCCCATCCCACTGTGTGTGGGGGGGAGTGAGCGAGCAGCTGTGTGCTGTTTAGTTGCCTGCCGGGTTAAACCACAACAGTCCTTTTTGGTGCCCAACGTGGGGCACAAAAGGTTGAGATAACAAAACCTCTGACCCAGGTGTCAACAGGTTAAAACAAATTTGTTAAAAGCATTCATTATATCAATTTAGTAGTCACTAGTCACAATGTTGGTTTATTTGCTCTCAGATTTCTTGGATCTGTTCTTGGATCTGTGTTATGTAGCACCTTACTGGCTGTATATACTGTTTGTCCTGTTTATCACCTCTGGGAGATGGATTAAGGTTATTACTTTGCTACACTGTGTAACACTGGCTTATGGTATAATAAACTTATTGGTCAGCGATTGTACTAAGCACTGCCATCATCCCTGTGCTTTGGGAGCTATCTCTCGGAAACTATTAATAATTACGCTTTTCTCCCCTTCTCCTCGGAGACCCAATTTACAGGGGAGATAGCTTCCTTCCCCTTCCCCTTCTCCTCCAAGCTGATTACAACAGCTCTTGAGGATTTTTAATATCCTTGGAATGTTCAAACCAGCATGTTCCTATTGCTATATCTCCTGAATAAGTTTCAGGCCTTGTTTAAGGTTAAAAAACTATTTAAGAATACTACCCAGAAATCTG